AGACACATTCATCATCAAATTACCTGGCAAATATTTGAGATCTTATGTGTGCTACTTGTCAGTCTCATGATACCTTCGCGATGCAACACTGAGACACTTAGTATTGTCATTTTATTTATTTATGATGAGATTAAATACCGGAAAAGGTTTTTTAGCACCATGTGTGAGATGTTTAAAATTTTTTGGATCTTATTTTGGCTCTAAAAAATATCATGATGTCTCAAGAATAGGTTTACTTAAAAAATATCCAACATGCAGTGATCCGAAGTAGAAATCATCTCTGTCAGGTTTACAAGGATTCGGAACATTGTCCGGCGCACTTGCACAATGCTTTGAGTGATCATGAAATGATGAAATGATGGCAAATGCTCTTGCTTAAAACACATGAAACATTGCATGATCAAAAGTAGCATGGTTTGTGACCTTCAGCCTCTCATATATTATTAAAAAAGTCTTCAAAATGAGGAACAATGCATACTGCCAGAACACTCCCGCTCACGTGATAATTGATCATTTCACGTTTTAGTGTCATCATCACGCTCATATCGAATTCATCGCGCAAATCATCGAGCAGAACATCTTCACATGAAAGCAAGTCAACAGACTCCGACAAATCAATGTTATTTGAAAGTTTATTTATAAGTAGATAAAAGTTCAACTAATATATGCGCAATGTGCTTCATATATGAATGAATTATTATGAATATAAATGCGTATTTCTCTGCTCAGTTAAGGAGCGATAGAGCTGTAAGTTTGTCGAATAATATCAGCAAACAGGAAATGAAGGATAAATAGAAGTGGTTTGTCGTTGAATCAGAAATGAATGCCAGTGGCAACAAATGGGGATGTTGCAAAAAGCTCCATAGGGCATATGTGGGAGCGTTCGACCACTGCACCAAAGTCACCAGCTTTTGTCGATAAACTACACGACCAAGCATAATATTGGTCATAATTACTTTCCTAACGATAAATGCAATTCATCCTAACAAGAATCATAGTAATATAAATAACTGCAAAAAGATACTATTAATATACTAACAATAATGATAATATCAATTAAAAATGCAAAACAATAATTACTTACTGTTTGTTTCTTCACTTACTGCTATGATCATAGTATTGAAGTTAAACTTGACAAATTGTATTAAAATAGGAGCTGACCTATGTTTAAGATTGATAAATGTGAGTGTGATTAGGGGTATAATATTATAATGGATGAAGCTCGATACCGTCACCTACAAAACTTAATATAATCGAAGCAGAAAAAATAAAGTCTTGACAAAGTGCATAAAGTGTGAACACGGTAGATTATCGAGCAATGAAAGAAATGCTATGTCACGACTGTAGTAGAAGACACAAAGACGCCCTTTGATGTAATAAATAAAGAGTCTGCAAAAACTATGTTTTTGAAAGCATTCCCACGCATGTGGAGCCACTCGCTTTGAAAAGATCGGAAATCATAGTCGAACGTGAGTAAGAACTGCAATTAGAATTTAAATGGATCTACCAGACATCCTGGTATTCGCCATGGAACGAAACGAAGTACTGCTCATGAACGTCGACATCACTTGGTTAGGAGGTTGAGACCAATCGATACCGAAAAAATGCGAAGACCAATTTGCTAATAAGCTTGAGTCAAAGATGAAATGCAGGAGTAAAATAAATCCGTGTATGATAACTAATTTAGATTTTAACTAAGTTACATTTGATCAGCGCCATGAACTTGACGTTGAGATCAACAGATGATGACGTTGAGATCAACAGAGCAGACCAGAACGCTGACCAACTGCAAAAAAAATGTCAGCATTCGATTCATCGCAAAAATCATTAATGTTAAAAAAAAAAAGAACCTCAGTCATATATAAAGGGAAGGCGCGGAGGTTATTCTTCTCTTTTTCATCATTGATTCTGGCTCTAGATTGTTTTGCTTCGCCCCACACTTAGTTCTGCTAAGCTGATCTCTGTTGCTTCGTTCTCGTCAAGTCCACGGCGCTAGTCGAATGAGATGCTCTCTAGAGTTTTCTTGAGAACTATCGACTGGAAATATGCCTTAACGTGATCAGATATTCTGATTTCCTTTGCTAATTGTGGACCTTATCATGTAGCAGGATGTCTGGTTGAATCGCTTTTATTCTAATTGCAGTTTTTACTTGCGTGTCGACTCTGATTTCAACGTGTTGGGTAGCAGCGCGAGTGGCTCCGCAAGCATGAAAATGCTTCTAGACCATACTTCTTGCAAAGTACTAAATGAAACATCGCAGGACTTCATTGTGTCTTCTAGTGTAGTCATGATATAACATTTTCTCACACTGCGTTGCTAGATGGTCCACTGTCTGTACGTGTTGCCTACAATGTTAGCACATATCTTTCTCAGCTTTAAACATATTTTTGTCTTGGAGGCGACATGACAGTACCGCGCTTCATCTTTTGGTGTAATATTCGTTGCCACATTAATGAGTAACACAACGCAGCTAGCTCATTTCTGCGTACTTTGTATAGCTTCGCTTTCTTTTCTATTTTGCTATACAGGAGTGCTTTCTGTGCTGTTTATACGCTTTCCACGGTTCAATTTTTCAGGAGGTTGTATTCAGTCTGAAGGTAGGCATAATAACTCCCAAGTACGTGTTGTGAGTCTTCTTCTGCTTCCAAATTTTTGCCCTTTTGGTAGATATGGACACACTCTCTACAAGTACATTATGAAGTTGCAGAAGCATAAGCGCCCTTATTTGTTTGACACAATTAAGCCCACGTCCTAGCTCGTCTCTGCGCATGTACAATCTGTCCAAACATGCAAATTTGATAACTGTCTGATATCATGATCAATTGTTCGGAAGTATTCTAATTCCAGTTTGAGCATCTCAGTATAACAATTTATTAATAATATGGTGTGCTCATTCACCTTGATAAAGTTCTTGATGTTTAGTGCAGTTTTATTAGTCGTTCAATTTTCGCCAAAATCTCTGCTCGCACTTTATCGTAGCTTTTTCGCGTCGAAGCGCTAGTTTTTACCTCCATTATGGCAAGCCATTCATGTTTTTGAGTTCCTTTCAAGAGTACACTTCAATAGCGCATGCCTCAGTATTAGTGGCACACTTCGTTGGATTCATCTTTAACCCTACTATTTCTAAAAACTTCTGGACTTCTCCGTCCGTAGTTTTCATGATATCCTCCTCGGCAATAAGAAGCTCGAGATCTTTCGCTACATGAATTTCTCGAGCGGTACGAACCTTCACCTTTGGAAGACTGATATACAGCTCAATAACATATAATGAGCAACACTGGAAAAGGGCTATTACCTTGCACGATCCATCTGTATTTTTCGCTCCAAAGTTTCTGCACTTTGGAAGCATCATCTGAGAATAGTCTGTTACATAACAGACCACCCCACTAGTTTACAGTACACATAGGCATGTTGAGGTTTTCATTACACTTAATCAAATAGTTGTGGCTCAATATCAGGAAATCGAACGCTATTTCACCGTCATACAACGTAGTGAATAACTGGTTATCATGATGTCGAATTTCGATACCGTCAACTTCTTGCACTTTCTCTCCTTGAACCTTTCCAACAATTCTTAATTGCAGCTTTTCACAACCTCATCTGCTTTATCATTGTTTTGTACTTAAACTCCAGATGCCGTTTTTCTGCATTCGTCCTCCATTTTCTTTCCGTGCTTCTGATGTGTTGACTGTACGACTATGCAGCCTTCTTTTTTAAATTTTCATCTCGTTTTGCAACAAGATTTTGTTCCGTTTTATTCGTGCCATGTATGCCACTGTGCATTACTGTGTATTGCGTCAAATATGAAATACCTAATTTCTTCCCAGACTTTTGATATCAGGACTGTACGACCACATAACAATACTCTTTTCGTTTTCCATCTCATTTTGTAATAGGCTTTTCTTTCGCTACATTCGTGCCATGCGCTATAGTCTTCCTTTTCCTTGTTTGTTTCGTCTTCCCTGCCTCAGAAGTACTGAAACAAAGGATGGCATGAGCATTTTCGTTATGGTCTATTGTTCCTTTTCGTTTCCTTGAAGTCGTCTATGATGTGAAAGGTCCTTTAGAGACTCATTCTCAGCCATTAATTAACTGATCTACTGGCATACTGGAATGTTAATCCATATCTACCGTTCTGGCGTCGTTTGCAGCCGATACCAATACGATTAATGTTACTAATGCTAAGATCGGTATTTCCGCCATTCACTTCCATTGCTGCATCGTAATTTCGCCATACCAATAGAAAGAGGAAAGAATAGAACAACAATTACTTGAAAATGTTGTGTTTTGTCTATTAACAGGCATAATCTTTCGTCCACAATTACATCAAACTTGGGTATCATAACCATAACATTTTCTAGTAATTTCGCTTATATATACATATTCTCGGCCTTGAAGAGGTGCTGAGCGATTAGCTCGAGATTGACTTTGAGCGGCTGTGTTCAACGAACATAAAATAGAGGCTAAAAGGAAAAGTCCGCATCTAGAATCCTGAATGAAATCGATGCAAAAACAGATGCGGTTCGAAAAAGCTATGTGAAGGTGTAAAAGTATATACTAATCTAAATCCTGTGCTAGGAGAATGATCACGTTTGAAGTAATCGTCCGTGGAATCGAAACCCCACAAACCATATGGCTAGGAGAGGTGCTTGAAGTGGTTCTTGATCGATTCGGAACGATGCTGTGGAAGATGGCCATTGTGTCGTTCTCTGCATAGCGAGAAATTTGTCTGTGCGATTACCGTTGAAGAACTGAAGAAGCAAGCGAGTTCTGTGATCACCAGTATTGCAATTATTCCATGCTCATAGAAACGGTTCATGACGAAGTCCACGAAACGTATCAATTTTTTGTTTCATATATATATTATCAGCCTATTTTACGTCCACAAATAAGCACTTCAAAGAAAGTCTAAGATTTATTTAGATATTAAGGAAAAATATCTAGTGCTGATGCATGAGGTACAGAAACGTGATATAAACCAGACCAAGTGGGCGCGAAAAATGCCATGGAATATAGTAGAGCCGGTCATTTTCGCAGCAGTAAATCATGCAGCAGGTGAATATGCTACAAAAAAAACCCTCCAATTCCTTAATTGATCTCGCACAGCAGTTGCAGGAAACACAACAATGCTAACTAAGCATGAAAAGAAGCCAAGCATGAAAAAGAAGATCGGTGCAAACAACTTTTACAATTCTGTGATCACCAGTATTGCAGGTTGTCCATGCTTCACTCAGGGAGCGGTATTTGACCAGTGAAATACTTGAAGATAAGAACTTGAAGGAGATCAAAAAGTGTATGAGGGGCATAAATCTAATACTAGCTCAGAAACGTGACTATCATGAGGCAAGCATGCAGACAGAATGTGTAAGAGTTTATGAAAATAAAATAAAAAGTTATGAAGCCCGATGTACATTCAAAATTCAAAACTTTAGAGTTGAGTTATTCAAAAGCAATTGTATAGAAAACTTACTGAGTCACCATGTGGGAACAGAAATAATCCGAGAGTTCTGAGCTTCTTAATGAAAAGTTCTGGATGTGCGATTCGAAAATGGGAGTAGACGATGATAATCAGCACAATGAATATCTAGAAGAATTCATTTCAGACTCTGAAGTGCATGATACTTTCCTATCTGAAGTCGACTTTGAAAAAATAGTTTTTTGCTTGCCTAACTGGAAAGCGGTGGGCCCTGATGAAATCTACAACTCTTTATTAAAAAGTGCATCTCCTTACATTAGACCTGTATGAAATAACTAGGCGGATCTGCTTGGATGAGGAAGAACGAGACCCATGGTTCTACAGTGGAACGACGTATCTGATTCCTAGAGATATCCCAAACAAAAGTAGTGACTTCAGGCCAATAACCTGCATGTCAAACCTATGAAGTTGACAACGAAGTGATGCAACTTAATATTACCACGAAAAAACTACTTGCATATAATCAATTGGGAACTATTGAAAAGGTTCAAGGTGCGAAAGAGCATGCACTTTTGAACCTGGCAATATAGAAATCAGTTATTTACACGTGGTATGACATTGAAAAAGCGTTCGATTAGGTTGGTCACAACTATTTAATGAATTGTAACGATTAATGCAGCCCAACGAGGCACTAGATATCCTTTAAATCAACTACATTTATGGGTTACACGCAAATGAAGCAACTAACTCGATGCCATAATTATGTGCAGGAGAAATGAACGAAGACGATGTGAGAAAGAAAATCTCAGAACGATCCAGGTGTCAGTGTTAAACATCAGTAAAGTTCAAATGAATTTATTTTTCTGCTAATGTTAGCAACTGTTATGAGTTGATATTTATAATCCCATTCGGGTTTGAGAGAACATATCACACAACTTGAAACACTAGTGCAGGTAGTTGAAAGCAGATAAATTTTTGTGTCAACTCACAGTTTCTTTGATCATATGTTCCCAGCAAAGTTAAATATAGTCTTCTTTTTTCGAAAATAGTATCAAAAAATTGTGCTTTGTCGTGGTTGTATGTAAGACCCATAAACGATCGGCTGCGGGAGATGTTTTTCTTTGTTCGTTGTCCATACACTCCAATCATGAATCTAATTTGAAATATTATGACTGCTGTTTTCGAAAGAATTTAAATTTTTAATAATATAATATTTTGAAATGTTTGGAGAGTTTTAATGGATTTTTGAAGCGCATATGAAACGTTTTTGTGATAATGTCATACTTTACCACAGTTGAAAGAATACAGTGAAAATTTTTCATGGTATTCTTCATAAAATATTTTCTTTTTACAATAGAAAAGTTTTCGTGCAAGCTATGTTGTTACTAACGATCCTTGTCCCTCAGGAAAATAGCGCAGAGAGCAAATAATCGTGTTATCTGATTGAATGGGTCCGAAAGCTCTCATATTCGATAACCATAGATATGTTCCCCAATTGAA